ATATACTTTCAGGACCATAATTGTAATTTTAATACAAAAAATTCTAGTTTGACGTCCTCTTCATTTCATACCCATTTTTTTTAAATGGTTCGTTTTCTCATTTCTGAAAAACGGGTGTAGCCATTGATAAAGTTTAAAGCTTCAATCTTTTTTTTTTTACACTATTTAATTATATATAAGTTATATCTCCATTTACTCTCAAATACTTCCAACAATCAAATGTTGGGAACATCTAGAGAAGAGTCACGCCACAACAAGCCTACGAGGCTTGGGGATGGTGTTCACGTGTCCTCAAGTGTGCCAACTCGGATTTCACGCGTAGAAACTATCTCCATACTTGATGGTCTTAGCGGTAGATATAATGGATTGTTTTATATGTTTTTTAGTTTTAACCGACACTTGATATAACCACACCATGCTTACATTTTATGAAGTGGGATCATATGATATGATGTCTAGATTTTGTGGAAACTCAAATCATATAAAATTTTAATTGTATGGACACTGAAGAGGACTTTGTCTTTTCAATTTTCATCACTTCTTTAAGGAAATGACCCCATTTTTGACATTTAATTGTTTGTTTTCATGGATGGGTGCCACAACTTTAAATTTTATATGCAGTTGACTGTAGAAGTTTTGGGATTGACCCACCATGTGCTTCTTGTTAGTCAACATTCTATTGTCTAGTACCATGTGTAAATAAATGTTGAAAAGACAATAATAGGGTAATTTCCTTTCTATGAAGTAAGTAACAAGCAAGTTTTCAATGTTATGTAAAATATAATAAAATTGGAAAGCGTACCAATCTGCGCATGAAATAAAACAAGGTCCTAATTAAAACGTGACATATGATTTATGTTACAACTTACAAGGTTGCGGCCAAAATGGGCTCGCGTTTACGACCAGAATTTTTATTTATTTTTTATGTACTGATAGTTGGGTTACAAAATGTTTTCATTGTTGAAGTAAATTAAATACACATCACATTAATAGATGATATTGTTTTAGGTGAAATTTTAATAAAAAAATGTTAGTTAGATTCATTTTGAGTTTTTGAACCAAACTTATTAAATAAAAATATTTAATATTTATATTAGAGCAATTTGGTGTTTTAATACAGTAATTTTTAACATAAATGATCCACGTGATATTTGTTTTATCACAACATGATGCGACTCATTGATTAAAGCATGTTGTTTAGTAGCTTTATTAATTAACTTTGTTCGGTATACAAACCCTCATGGAGGCTCATATGACACTTTTCATATAGGTCATGTAAAACCAAAAGCTACAATAAGTTGTTATATGTATCAACAACGTTAAATTTTGTAAAGAAATTTGATAAACATTACAATTAAGTGCATTGCCATAGCCATAAACATCAAACTTAGACATTGTAATTTGGTCAATTTCTAAAGTATATTTTCCTTATAAGAATAAAATATAATTTTTTAGGCTACATCAAACTTAGACATTGTAATTTGGTCGATTAGTGGAGGAGGTGGTGGTGGTGTTTGATTTGAAGCGTGCCTCTAGTCGGACGTTTGTGAGGTGCCATCTTTTACCGAAAGTTTATAAAGATGATGATAATAGTAAGAATCAATTGTAAAGTATGATGAGAGTGATCCATGGACTAAATCGCCATAGTCCAAACATTAGAATAAGTGTATGATCAGAATAGAGACTCATCAATAGAGTAGGAAAAACATAAGGGTATAGACTTCTCAGTAGATTAGAAAACTTCCAATATTACTGGTATTAATGATGTAAATGAGTTCAGGAAAAATTAACCTAACAATAGGTCTTACATCAAACCATATAAGGGAAAAATGTTAACAGCTTAGTAGTCTAGATAGTGTACTAAAAGACAGGAATATGTTACAGACAAGTGCTTCATAGAGCATAGACAAGAAAGGCTATTCCTTAACCCAAAAGATAAGTTGTGCTAGAAATCTTCAACCGGCGACTGGCATTCCTCGGGTGAACCCTCATATCCTCCAATTGACGTACTACCTCTTGAAGATGTCGCTCATGAGCTCTCTGACGAACTCGAAGTCTATGACTTCAGCTCGGGATGCAGCTAGTTGTTGCTGCAGAGCCTTATTGGTTCTCCTAGTCCTTTCCATAGCCTCTTCAAGTTGGCGAATGCGGACCATGTTAACGCTAGAGTTGGCATCAATTTCCATGACTCGGTCGATGGCTGCTTGACTGTTAGGTGCATTTCATGTACCCATTTTGTAGCTTTATTTCATAAAAATACATTGCATATAGGCTTAAACTCATGCATTTTGCATGTTTTTCGGGATTTTTCATGAGGCAATTTCATTCAAATACTTTTGTGATATTTTAGGGACTTTTGGAGGAAGGATATTGTTGGAGGAGGTAAATAAAAGTTGTGGACAAAATTTCAGGACTTGCGGAGCACCGAGGAGCAAGATATCAAAGAAATGAGGATTTTGGCTTTACAGACGTTTACACGGCCGTGTAAATGGAAGCCTTGCGTTTACGCGGGTCGTGTAAACGTAGATTTCTGCGCAGTATATTTTTGCGTTTACGCGGGCCGTGTAAATGACAGTGTTAATTTACGCGGGCCGTGTAAACGTAAATGCGGGTTTTAAAGCAGTTTTTCACCATTTTTAAAGGGGGGAACCGATTTTTTACTGAGGGGGTCGACTTTTAGAGTAGAGAAGGCGAATTTCTTGAGGATATTGAAGTTGATTAACAATTGGGAACATTTGATTTCATTTTGTAAGAACTTTAATTTCATTTTCCAGATTTGTGATCTTGTTCTAGCCATGATTGGCTAGAACCCTAAATTCTCCAACTTTATGTCTTGACATTTGGATGTGATTTCAATCATATGACTTGATGTTTGCTTTCAATTTTCTATCTAGTGAATTTGATTTTGTCTCAATTGAATGTTTGATTCTAATTGTGATTCTTATTGGCCATTTGGAATTAGGGTTAGATCATTCAAGTTATCTAATTGCAAAATCCGTA